AAATAAAAGGCAATAAAAGATTGGACAGAAAAAAGTACTATTTGTGGATACAACCATCTATGAAGAATCCAATGAGATATACAAAATAGCTACTAGAACTAACAGATACGTTTATAAAGATTTCAGGATACAAGATCAATGCACAATAATTCATTGGATTACTGTACACTAATAATGAAAAATCAGAAATCAATGGTTTTATTTTAACATAAGCATCAAAAATATAAAATTCTTAGGAATATATCTGACAAAACATGGGAAGATCTATACAATGAAAGCTATAAAAACATCCTTATGAGAAATTATAGGCCTGTATAAATGGAAAACTATACCATGTTTACTAGTTAAAAAACTCAAGATGTTTGTTCTCTCTAAGTTGACATAAAGATGTAACATAGTCTCAAAGAAAATCTTTGCAAGCTTTTTAATTTTTTTGGTAGAAATTGGCAGGTTGATTCTAAAATCCATGTGAACATACATAGGACCTAAGGTAGCCACGACAGCTTTGAAAAGAGAACAGAATTGGAGGTCTGATTTCAGATTATAGTAATCAAGACAGCCTGGTGTTAGCTTTAAGGTAGATAGATCAATGGAACAAAATAGAGTAACTAAAAGTTGACCCACATAATGTATGGTTCAACAATTTGCAACAAAAGTGCAAAGGCAATTCAGTGGAGAGAGAATTTTCTGTTAAACACACAGTCCTAGAGCAATGGGTATCCAGCTACAGAAAAATGAACTTGGATCCTTACCGTCCTCCATACACAAAAATTAACTTAATAGACTATAAACAAAATTCAAAATCTAAAACTATAGTGTCTAGAAAAGTACATAGAAGAAAATCTTGTGTTAAAGATTTCATAGATAAATACACCAAGATCTATAAAAACAATTTAGACTACATAAAAATTTAAAATTTGTTGTTTTTGAAATACAGTGTTAAGAGAATGAAAAGACAAGTCATATAGAGAAAAACATTTACAACACATATCTGGTAATGGACATATATACAGAATATATAAAAGTACTCTCAAAACTCAAAAAAGCAACCCAAGACAAAAATGGGCAAATATTTGAAGAGACACTTCACCAGCAGAGATATATGATTGGCAAATAATTGCATGAAAACAGGGTCAACATCATTAGTCATCAGGAAAGTGCAATGAAATACCATTACACACCCACCAGTATGACTAAAATGGAGAAGATGAAGTGTTTACAAGGATATGGAGGAACTATAGCTCTTACCCTCCTGGTGGAGATCTAATTTGTACATTCACTTTGAAAAACAGTTTGGCAGTTTCTTAAAAAGTTAAACATATATGTACCACTTCAGTCATTTTGCTGGTGGATATATGAAAGCATATGTCCTTACAAATACTTATACACAAATGTTCATAGCAGCTTTATTTTTAGAGGCTGAACCTGGAAATAATCCAGATGTCCATCAACAGGTAAATGGATAAACAAATCACTACATTCATACAATTCAACAATGGAAAAGGATGAACTGTTGAAACATGCTGCTCCAGGGATAAATCTCAGAATCCTTATTCTGAGTGAAAGAAGCTCGGCAAAAAAAAAAAAAAAAAAAAAAGTACACAGTTTAAATATCATTCCATTTATGTATAATTTTAGAAAATACAAACCTCTATAATGACAGAAAGCAGATGGTTATGTAGGAGTGAAAGGACAAGGATCAGAGCAGGAAGAATCTTTTGGAGATTATGGAGATGTTTATTTTCTTGGCAGTGGTTTCTGGGGTGTCTATGGAGGTCAGAATTTACAAATCAAACACTTTATGTGCAGGCAGGTCATTGTATGTCGGCCATACTACAATAAAAATGAAAACTGTCTTTGCTGTCTGACCACCTCTGCTAACATATCTAAGACGAGTGCCTAAATTTGCTGGATCTTAAGACACAGCTAGGATTCCTGTTAAAAATACTATGTTCCAGGCCTCAGAACTTTTAAGATAGGACTGGGAAGTCTGTACCCCAGATAATTCTTGTTAGTCAGGCTTGGAAAGCACTTGGCCCAGATTAAATTAATTGCACTTTGGTAGGATTGGAACCCATTTCCACTTTCCACAAGAGAGGGATGTTAGGTATCGAGTATTAACAGAAAGGCCTAGCCATAGAACACTTTATGCTCTTACTGTGGTCAGATGGAAAAATCAAGAATTTGACAACATTTTTTTCTCATCCATGTAGTATACTGAGGTCAGCCTTGCATTTTAAATTCCTGAAGTAACAGCATGGAAATCTCTTAGTAGCCCCAGCGTTAGTTAACATGACATATAGAGGAAAAATAATTTTATCTGTACCGTTTTTGACAAGTCACATCAGAATACATTGTTAATTGAAAAGGATGCTTTATATACTGTATATTTAAAATTATAAAATAACATAAGTTGTGAGAAGAGGAATAAAATGAATAGAATTTGTTATTCTCTAAACGTTCTTTAAATGGACATAGTGTTATTGAACTCAAGGGGTTCAGGGCTGCTGCAAGGTAGTTTTGTTTTCTTTCAGCAAGTGAAAAAGATGGGACTGGTAGCCATAGCTCTGGCACTCTGCAGAGGCGTAGGCATTGCTTATATACACTATGTGGTCAAATACATATTGATTTCTTCATTGTAATTGGCTTTCCTTAATCTGGTTGAGTTCCTGTCAGCTCTTTCTGTTTACAGCTGCATCTGCAAAACACTCAGCCACATTTTAACATTTAGTAAGAATAGCACTGAGTAAGAATGGCCCAGACCTTGAGACCCTTCTAACAGTGGCAGCAGCCTTTTTATAAAACTCTGGAAAAAACAACGTGACCTTCTTATCACTCCCTTTCCAATGATGTCAAACTCAAGGAAATTATAGGCTAAGTCTGTCTGAGTTTTAAATGGTTCAGTTATCAGAAGACTTGCAGAGAACAAGTTTTCCACAAATCATCTTGTGCTATTGGTCTTGGTTTTTTTTTTTAAGGGCTGGTGAGCCAACATGCCATTAATCACTTGGCTTTTAAGGAAATGAAACTGCAGTGTACCCTTTGGCTTTATTGTCCTTTTGTTTGTTTGTTTGTTTTTTGGCATTTATTAGCATTGCAGTTTTTAATATGAGAACCTTGGGTGAATGCTCAGCGATAATAATGTGGACAAAACAATGCAAAAGGCGTAATTTTTAAAAGTCAGTTTCTACTCATTGATCTGTTGCAGTACCTGTGCACACGCCAGGCCTCGGACACCACTAACATGACTGTGAAAGCCCCTTACAGCCCGAAGTTGTTAGAATGTTCCTCCCTTGTCAGGACGGAGATCTGTTCCCGTATACAAAGAGGCAGTATCTGTTTGTTATCACTTCCCACTGTTTCTTCCCCCAAAATCTGGTTTGGATTGATTATCCTTCCCCACAGCTGCTCCATGGGTGGGAAATCTATTCTGACCAGTTTCCCTTCTTTGGATTCTATTCTGTGTAGGGAACTACCTTCCCGATGGAAGTTGGACACAATTTTAAAAATTAAGCATCATTTGTACTAATCAGTGTCAGTACTAAAAGTTCACAGAGAGGAAGGTATTATGTAGACTAAATACCTGTATGTAAGCATGCAGCTTCCTTTAGTTTTTATTAACTTGACAGCATTTTTGTCATTTTTAAGTGGACTGGAATGTTCCGCTTAAACCAGTAGGCTCTGCTTTTATGGAGATTTAAAATGTTCCTTCCATCTCCATCAATTTCCTGCCCCCCCCCCCCCCGACTCCCACCACCACCAAAAAGCACAGATGTCCAGGATGGCCATTGCTGCTCCCTATTGGTTACTGTTAATGAAAAAGATACTAAGTGCCCAAAATAGGTACAGCACCTCAGAATGTGGCTTTATTTGGGAATAGGGTCATTGCAATAAAATGTTAAAATGAAGTCATACTCATTTAGGGTGGACTTTTTAATCCAAAATAACTAATATCCTTGTAAGAGAAGACATCATGGTATTCGAGGGAAAAATGTCACTTGAGAACAGATTACTTTTAAATAAATCTATTCTTTTATTCAAGCAAGGTTGGGAGACACCTTCTCAGGGTACTTTCACCTGTTAATTTAAATTATGTGAATATGCCCTAACCCAGTGGTCAGCAAACTCATTAGTCAACAGAGCCAAATATTGAAATTTCTTTTGAGAGCCAAATTTTTTAAACTTAAAAACTTCTTCAAACACCACTTCTTCAAACTAGACTCGCCCAGGCCATGGTATTTTGTGGAAGAGCCACACTCAAGGGGCCAAAGAGCCGCATGTGGCTCGTGAGCCACAGTTTATTGACCACAGCCCTAACCAATTTGGCTCAGTGGATAGAGCGTTGGCCTGCGGACTGAAAGGTCCCAGGTTTGATTCCGGTCAAAGTCATATACTTTGGTTGCGGGCACATCCCACATAGGAGGTGTGTAGGAGGCAGCTGATTGATTGATGTTTCTTGCTCATCAATGTTTCTAACTCTCTATCCCTTCCCCTTCCTCTGTAAAAAATCAATTAAATATATTTTAAAGAAAGAAATCACATCTTTAAAAAAATTATGTGACTATAACAAAAAAATGCAGGGCATTCTATAGTTTACATATTTTGCATATTTCACTCTTTTAGGATGCTCTTCCCTCTAGGCTAAAGTTATTATTTATTTTCAACTTCTCAATTGTGAATGCGAGCTACAGTATTTAAACTAACCAAGTTTCATATTAGGAGAATCTATAATTAATAGTTTTGGGTTGTTTGCTTATAATCAACAGTAAAAACAATTTTTTCCAATGCATCTAATCACCTTAGAATATCCATTAATGATATTCACATTAAAGGATGCATCCACTAAAATGCCTTTTTTTTTTTTTTTTTTTGTCCCAGTAAGATAAACTAACTGGGCGTGGCAGATAATATTTTGCCTTTCCGTAAGAGTTGGTGAATCTGCTATTTTGGCACTCTGACAACTGTTCTAAATACCCATCCTGTGCTTTCCTTCCCCTCAGTGGGCCTTCGGAGTGACGCTGTGGGAGCTCATGACTCTGGGCCAAACGCCCTATGTGGACATTGACCCCTTTGAGATGGCCGCGTACCTGAAAGATGGTTACCGAATAGCCCAGCCCATCAACTGTCCTGATGAACTGTAAGTGTTTCTGTGCTTGAAGACATGGGTTTCATTCCTTTCACAATTTTGGGATAAAAGAAAAGCAGTGGGCGTCCAGAAGCTTCCCTTTGAGAATAATGACTCCTCAGCAGTGAATTAGACTCTTCCAGAGAACCACGGAGTCAGCCCGACTCATCCACTTTTCAATGCATTTGACATTAGGACTTTTTACATCTTATGTTTGTAGCATTTAATCTATCCAAGAGACTAACGCACGTATATAGTGAGAAAACGCAGAACATTATGTGGGTTACTGTATGCAGAGTGAAGGATGACTTTTATTTATTAGTAGAGTCTTAAGGACATATCTATATATACAAAAGGCTAATATGCTAATTGTCCAACTATCCAACTGGTCGCTATGATGCACACTGACCACCAGGGGCCAGACGCTCAATGCAGGAGCTGCCGTGACACGCACTGGCCATTTACAGAGAAACAGCACTGTGGGCATGCTGCCTACAAAGCAGTATTCGGCTTCCCCCAAGTGAGAGACAGGCCCCACCAGCATTCTGGAACACCAGCCCACCAAATCACAGCCAATGCAGCCAAGACCCCATGGCACAAAACGAGGCTCACAGCCCAGTCCAGCCCGGAAACAGTCACTGTGGACACTGGGTAATGACATCACATGGCAACATCTGGCTTCCTCTCCTAGCAACTACCCTCCTTGCAGTTTCTTCAGTCCAGGAATACGGCTTGCTTTATAGCCAAGTGGAAACATTTCATACCGTAATCAAATGTCGGTGAAGTATTTTCACATACCTCATCTTATTTGAGCCTCACAGAAGTCCTGGAGTAGGTAGATAGGAGAATCAGTGGAACCCTATTTTCATTAGCCAGAAAACAGGCTTAGAAACTTGACCTGACTGAAAAGAAGTAAGAAATGGTGGACCTTGAAAATGACTTCGAGTTTTCTCACTGTTACAGTTAAATATTTTACCCTTTGTTCTCCCTGTATGATTACAATAATAATCTGCTTCATGTTGGCATTTACTACTGTGTTGCTAACAATTACCTGAAAAAGAAGTTGGGGTGCTTCACAGGGCTGGAAAAAGTTTAGCTAAATCAGAAAGCAGGTCTAATTAAGCAAGTTTATTCTATTATATAAAAGGCTAGGTTGACTCACGCATGCATGATACATATAAAGCTCTTGCTGGCACCAGTCACACGTGTTTTCTTTTAACCTGTCATTGTCAATCATGAATTTGGTTGACACTTCTATTATAGAGAAAAGGCAAACAGCAATATTAAAATATTTCTTCTAATTAATTTCCTTTCAATGTGCATGAATTCATGGACTGGGCCACTAGTTTCGTTATAAAAAGGCTTTCTCATTGTCATCATGCCGTGCCAGTTGGTGTCAACTGATATATAAAGAAGTTTTGAGCTGGCAAGTAAAATAGTTCCTGTTTCCTGCTTTCATCACATAGCTCAGCTTCCCCCGTACTGGGACTCGGTCAGGGGTTGATGAGTGCAGGGGTGAGTGTCATCTCATTCTGGAATCCCCTGAAGTTTCTACACCACAGCAGTGTGACAGCACTTGCCCTGATTTTACTGAAAACCCAAGGTTCTTAGAACTTAGCTAAAGCTTCCTCTTCCTCAAGGTTCTTTCTCTCAAAACATAAATACAGGATAACACAGGTATTTCCATGAAATCTCTGTATTTGCTGATACATTTTGGTATGCTCTTATGAAGAATTGAAATCTACATATAAAATTCACATAACTCCTTTTAGCTTCTTTTCATTTTAGAGTTCCCAACAGGTAGTAATGGCGATAGATTTTTAGTATGTCATCCTCTCCATGCCCATGTGTGACAGAAAACGTAACTGGCATCAAATCTACTAAAACGTTGGGAGTACTGCATCGTCACTGTACCATCTCTGTCACTCTGCAGATTTGCTGTGATGGCTTGTTGCTGGGCTTTGGATCCGGAGGAGAGGCCCAAGTTCCAGCAGCTGGTCCAGTGTCTCACGGAGTTCCACGCAGCCCTGGGGGCCTATGTTTGACTCTCACATCCCACAGCATCCAGGCGGGAGGTTCCCACCAGGCTCACTGGGAGCCGGTCCTGGATGCTTCACCCATGCCTCGACGCCAGCAGAAGTACATTCGTCTTCCAGAACACTGTGCCTTAGACATGCGTTAGACTCGGAACTTTTAAAGACAGACTTAATAATGGGAAACATTTTCTAGATATCACGTTTATTAGGTTGAACTGAAAAGGTTTTTGTAAATTTTTTGGCCAAAAATTTTTAAAACATAGTTACTTTGGACTAGGGGTACCTTCTTACAAAATAAATAAACAGTTTTTAAAATTGTTTAAACACTTGGAATAGCCATTTTAATGCCAACTGCTTTTTATTTATTTATTTATTTTTTTTACTTCATCAAGGTAAAATGTAGGTGATTCACCTTTAAAGTTTTTAAAATATTTATCACTAGTCTTGGGAATGGTTTGTCTTCGAGATGAAGTACTTTTTCTTAGGAAAAGAAAAACAGCATACTAAAGACGTCTGGGTTGCCTTACACAAGGAAAGGCAATATTGGAGAAAGAAGACTGAAAAGCTAGAATAAAAAAAAAGAAATAAAAAATACTTATTAGCGATGGAAACTGCCCTTTCATGGAAAATTGTTTGTTTTTTATATTTTTAAGGAAAATGAGTTTTGTTATTTTTATTTTTGGAGGAAGTAGGTGTTGAGTTCTTTGAAAAATCATACATTTGGCAGAAATTAGCTTTTCCAGGTGCCAGAAGTAGGTTTGGATCAAGTCAGTAGTAAAGATTGGTGATTTTATTTATTTTCACTCTCTGGAAAAGATGACGATCCAGTTTCAGAGAGTGAAGTCACGTTTCTAAGGTTAGGAATCCCTTTATAGCACCTAGACTCGTGCTATGCACAGAGCAGGTGCTCAAGTTGTGAGTTTAAAAAAAATGTAAACTGGTACATTTTGTGCTTATCTTCTAGGCTGACAAGTATAAAATTGTTTTTTAAAACACTTGAAAAATTAAAGGATTTGTTTTCTATTATGGCAGTATTGAAAATATCGTTCCTAATCAATGATTGGTTTGAACTTGCAGCAGGTAGATGAGATGTTGTATTTCATGGGTGTTTTACTAAGGCTCCCAGCCCCTGATATACAATTACTGCCAACTCTGCTCAGCCTCCAGATTCCAATGAAAAGTTGGAATTATAATTAGAAAGAAGTGTCACAACACTGACACTTTTCTCCAGGATCTTTGCATTAGGGGTGTGTGTGTATTGGTGCTTGTTGATAGTTGGCCTAATGCATAGTTGAATGGGCCTCCTAGATGGTTAGGCGTAAGGGTGCCTCCCGCTACTCCCATCCTCATAGGTATACAAGGGGGAATGCAGAGCAGGTGGAGGCCTTTGCCAGGCTTCTCTGAACAGAGGGCATTTGGGTTGAGATCTGAATGCCAAGAGCACAGCATTGAGAAGGGACATAATTGCAGAGGACTTAAAGCAGGAACGAGTGGGCCTCCCGGCTCGGCCCTTCCTGTTTATCTTCCAGTGGCTGCGGCCGCTGCTGGAAGAAGAGAACGGAGGTTGGTGTGGCCCGACTGTGGTCAGGGAAGGGCGGCCTCGGCATGGAGTCTGGGAGACACACCCGGGCAGCAGGGTCTTACAAACGATTGGGCACATTTATATTTTCTTTACATTCAATGGGATTTTAAGGGGTTTTTTTTTTTTTGTTTGTTTGTTTGTTTTTCAGTAAGGGATTGGTTGACATGACCTGATTTATCATTTTTAAAAAGGTTATGCCAACTCTTTGGTGAAGATTGCATTGTAGAAAGGCAAAGGTGAAAGTCATGAGACTTTTAAGAAAAACTGCTGCCGTTTAGGAAAGAAAGTATAGTGGTTTGGGAGATTGGAAAGACAGATTGGAGATATGTTTTGAAGGTAACAGACAGTGGAGTGGAGAAGGAAAGAGAGTGATAGGGCTGACTAATTTGTTTGGGGCTTGAGCATCTGACTGTATGGCTAAGCTATATGATGAGATGGAAAAACCCCAGGAGGAACACACTTTGCTGTGGCAGGGGGATTAGTAATTGTTGTAGACTATGTTTGAGTTGCCCAATGGTCATCTGAATGGAGTAGACACATGGGAGTATACCCAGGGAAGAGGCCTCTTAAACATGGAAATGAAGAAGTATATGTACTTTTATCTTTAAAAGCCATGGCACTGGGTGAGCTGGCTTCAGGCAATGGTGAAGATGGAGAGGAGGTCCTAGGCCTGAATCCTAAGTACACCAGCATTTAATGGTCTGAGAAGAAGACTGAGAAGAAGACACTGCTGTTGGAAAAAGTGGCAGCAACAACCACAAAAACAGGAAACTGAGGTGTCATGGAAACCCAGGGAAGAAAATGCGTCCAGTGGAGAGAGGATCTTCTGTGGGACTTGGCGTTTGGAGGGTACAGTATTGACAACACCAGCAGGGATCAGAGCAAGTTGAAGGGTGAACACGTGGGAAAGGGGAGATTCTTCTGCGGTCAGAGTCATTGGGAAATGGAGTGGGAACTAGGGAAGGTCAAAGAAATGTTCTGGGTGGGGTTTTGGTAGGAGTAGGGACGGGGAGGAGAGCGTGCTTGTTTTCCAGATGAAGATACGGGCACCAGAGAATGTTTCTCTCACAGGCTAATGGGAATGATCCAGGAGAGGGAGAAAAAACCCTTTGGAGTATGGGACATGCCTCTTGCCTTTTGGTCCACAGGCATGAAAGCCTCTGCCCTCCGCTTCCCAGTCCCTTTGGTTGTGGTAAAGGTTATGTTGTGAATGGGGAAATAATGTGAGGTGGGGGGGAGAGGCGGTATACAAAACCTGAAACACTCCCACTGAATCACATTCTGTTGAGTTGACTAACCTAGAACCTCAGACCCATCCCGGTGTCTTTTCCCTGTTGCCTCTGCACCTGCTAACTGCTCTCGGCCCTTAACCCACCCAGCCAGCCTCTGCCAGAGTAATGCTTCCCACACCTCCTCACGGAACTGCTGCCGTTCCTGAGTGACACTCCTCAGCAGTTCCCGGAGCCTTCAGGGTGGGGATGAGAACTAGGTCACCGTCGCTGCAGTTCCCTTGCTTCTCCGCCAGCTGGCTCACTACTGCTGTTCCACCTGTTCCTTCTTTTGCATGTGCTGCTGCCTTAGAATGCCAGGCTCTGGGGTAGATTGCCTGGAGCCAGGAGGCTCCTCTGACACCTTCCCTTGCCCTTGCTGGAGCTTTTCAGCCTGTTCCCTGGGTGTGCACTCTCACAGAGGTAAGATGGGGGCACATGTAGTTATTTATTTGAACCACTTGGCTGTGCATTCTGGGAGGATAGAAACTTGTGTTTCCCCGCAATCTCAAATCTCCATGGCTTAATTAGCACTTGACATATGGTAGGTTTGAATATTTAATGCACTGATGAGTAAAAATATCTAAATTTACATAAGAGAGCAATTAGAGAGGCTTAAAAGAAAAAACTAATTCCTTTAAAGGATTATCTCATATTTAAAGTATTGTATTTTAACACCAGTGATAATTGTTTTTAAATTGAAGAGTTGAGTTTTTTTTGTTTTTGTTTTTATTTTTTTAATATATTTTACTGATTTTTTACAGAGAGGAAGAGAGAGGGATAGAGAGTTAGAAACATTGATGAGAGAGAAACATCAAACAGCTGCCTTCTGCACACCCTCTACTGGGGATGTGCCTGCAACCAAGGTACATGCCCTTGACCGGAATCAAACCTCTGACCCCTTAGTCTGCAGGCCGACGTCCTATCCACTGAGCCAAACTGGTTTCGGCTTGAAGAGTTTTTTTATGCAATATAAACCAACAAGGATTGAAAGAAAAAGAGACAGATTGGTGGGGAAGACCATATCCCACTGCAGTTCTGGCTTAAGCACACCCCCGCTCCCTCAGTTCCTAACACACTTTTTATTTTACTTTCCTGCTTTTTCTTTGGTCACAGGAATAATTAAGCCTGATTGCAAATTCTGCTTCATGCTTCTTTACAAGGCCAATTTCATTGGAAGTTACACATGGCGTAATTCATTGACTTTGGAGATTGTTTTCCAGGTGTTATTTTCCCATGCCCCTCATGCATGCCAGATAATAAAAAGGGGGTGATATAATTTATGGGGCTAAAAAGAAAAATTTAAACTTGCTTATTAATAATTTTTGTTTCTACATTCATTTCCGCCTTTAATATTTCAGGATAACATTGAACTTAATTTTCTGGGACACAGTACAGTTATCTTGTGTAACTGTATTTGAGTATTTGAATACAGTCATGTGCCCCTTAACTGACAATACCCTCTGGGTATACTTTCGGTGACTCCGTTGTGCAAATATTATATGACTGGCAGCACAGTAGGCTCATTTACACCAGCATCACCACAAATGCATGAGTAATGTGTTGAGCTGCATACGGCCTTACACTGCCGTATTACTAGGAGGTAGGAATTTTTCAGCTCCATTATAAGCTTATGGGACCATGTTATATATGTGGTCTGTCATGATAGAAATGTTATGCCATGCATGACTTTGTACATTTTATATATAAGTAAACTGAATCTGTAGGTTCTGTTTTCTTCCTGAAAGTGATGTTCTTTAAGTAATTCAGGCTAACCAGGCCTAGAGGACTTAGTTGAAGATGCTTCCTAACCCTTCAAAGAACAGATGTTAATATTTCTTTTTTAGCTCTGCCTGTGTGGTTCAGTGGTTACATGTTGGCTCATGCCCTGAAGGTCTCGGGTTCAATTCTCAATGTTTCTCTCTCGTCTCTCATATCTCTCTCTCTCTCTCTCTCTCTCTCTCTCTCTCTCTCTCTCTCTCTCTCTCTCTTTCTTTCTATTTTTCTCTCCTTCAGGATACTCCAGAGACTGGTGGACTTGAGGAGGAATTGGTCATGGGCCCTGGCAACAGAAAAGCACCCGAGTTGTTTAATGTTCTAAATAAACTTCCTCTAACTCTGACTTTCCTCGGGCCAAATGGGTTTGACTTGACCTTAAT